TATTTTATTTTATTTTATTTTATTTTATTTTATTTTATTTTATTTTAAACATCTATATCTGTACAAGTCCTTGATGTAACCCCCTGTAGGTCTGCCTGGCACTGTAAGTATGCAGCCGTTCCCAAAGACTACATCTTTTAAGCGAGCTATCCTTCCACTAAGAGGCAGTATTGGCCTACCTTTACCAAATCACAGATTCTACAAAAATTAGGAAAGGACGCAGCGTGAAAACATGGCATCATAATTCCATCCAACTCTTAGGATAAGGCGGTAATTAATTCTTGTCACACTGGTGAATAGAGAGTGTTCCAATGACAACAAAATATGTGGGCAAGAGATGAATTAAAGACACTTACTGGATAGAGTTCATCATTGCACATGGCAGTAGTTACACTGCATTTGCTAGACATAAACTTCTCACTGCTAGAGAAATAAATTTTATTGACTAATTACAGCTGAATCAGTATTGACTAGACTCAAAAGAGAAGATACAAGAGAAATGCCAATGATGATGGTCAGTGAAGCTTTAAAGACATACTGACTCATAAAGTGAAAAAAATATATACCTTAAATGCTAGGATATTAGCAGTTGCACATGTCAAAATCAAATGGCGAATCTGAAATAGTTACTGCTAACTGGATCTTTGAAGAATTTCACAAATGTTTCTATCGCTTCAAGAATGGGCAATTCCTAATGACACAGGAAGATTTTCATTCTTCTGATAATATCAAAATAAAAGACAGTTACCCATCTGGATAGTAAGTCAGTCCAAGATCTTTATTTCAGACCATTTTTTGGTGAACCAGCACTATAGGAGCTGTAACAGAAACTGTTTATGGTTCTAGTAGTTAGTCAGCATCAAGACTACTGGAGTTGGATAGTACTAGGTCTTCTGTGTATAAATAACTTACATTTAGAACCTGGTTGTAATTTATGAGATTGTGCTGGGTGGAACAGAGAAGTGAGCCAGGTATCCATCTGGAGTAAGTACCAAAATAGTAGATCCTATGGTACCAAAATAGATCCTATGGTATCACTGTCATTGATACAGAACATCTCACTTCACTCAATATGTTGAAAATTCTCTTTAGTAATAAGGCAGGTAAGAAGGGGCATTTTAGTCCTTTCATTGAAAAAGCAAAGGAGTTGAGTCTCAGCTATTATAGAATTTTGGACTGCTGTTATGTATTGGCTCATTGATACAGTTCAGTGATGAATTCACAAATCAAGTGGTCTCCAAACAGTGAAAATATCTGAAGTCCATACTGTGTAGAAAAAGTTTATGAAGCTATCTGTCAGCCTTTGGACTGTGGGAATGACTGTTTTCAACGCTAGGCAGATGGCTCTGATCTCTTGCAGAGATCATATGCTCTGAGCTCTCAGACATACATATATGAGCTTATTGTTAGAAGCATCTGTCATCACAGACTTAATAAGGGTTTGCTCTTGCTTCTGCAGTGGGTCTTTCTATAGCTTAAAGAAAAAATATTTACCTTGGGACTTATTTATTTTTGTCTGTGAGATATCTGCTTGGCAGAATTCTTGTATAGAGCATAGATAAATCCTGCTCAGTAACATCAAATAAAAAGGCAGTTACTCACAGAGACTCAGAAAACTCATTGTAATCTGGAGTCATTCTTGTGCTAGAACTCTTATAAACTACACGCTTTGAGTAGAAGTGAAGGGGAATTATCCTTTGTTTTGTTTGAATATTTTTTGTTAAAAATATCTCACTGCAGTAGCGGAGAAAATGTTGTTGTCTACAGTTAAGTAAAGAATGCTATAAAGTAGAAATGCTTTTCTCTGCAGTGGCAATCATAACTGTTGAAAATAACCAGAAGACACTTGGTGACTTAGTTCTGCAAACTCTGTTGAAAATGATTAACATTATATTCATCATATAACAACCAGTGAGTAGTTAAATACAGAGGGATGTTCTGCACTCTTACAGGGTACAAAGTCATACCCTCTTTGTTTTTTGTCCATTTGTTTGATGATTTGGTCCAGCTGGGGCAGTTTAGCTGAGAAGAATGGAATACTTTTCCATGTTGCAGCAAGATGCAAATGAAAGGAGTTTTAGCGACTGGCTTGTATTCTTAAGTGTGGGATGATCTGAAAGCTTTCTGACTGACAGAAGGCTTGACTGATCTCAGTGTTTAAAAATCACATTCGTACAAAGATAAAACCTTTTTAACAGCATCAAGATATCTTTGGTGGGAGAAGACTGTTACACAAATTGTTGTTTTGATATAGCAGTGTAGTATACAACGAAAGCTGTTCTGGAATGTCAGTAGGGTTAGTAACTGTTACAGCGTTCCACTAAACACTGTAGTTGTGTCACTTGCCCTTAAAGACTGCCTTTTTTGCTAGTAGAATTTCCACTTACAGATAAGTGGGAGTCAGATCTTCATGATAATCCTTAAGATAATTCTGAGATCTCAGCAAAGTGTCAGCTCATTTTTAAATTCAATTTCAAACCTTCTACTTAAGACTAATTATCTGAAAATTATGGAAAAGGCTGTTTGTCTTTCTGGAATTTTCTACCTGTAAAAACACTGTGATCTCCTGAGTTTTCCATGTTTCATGGAGTTTTATATCTATAGATATCTGTGCTACTGAAGGAACTGAAAGACTTTAGCTTTAAAGCACTGGATGAAGGCATTAAAAATATGAAGCTTTGCCCCACACTTCTTGCTTATGATAAAAATAATAAAAATAATCCAGTGTCATTTTCTTTATTAAGCTGTGAATTAGAACAAAGATTTTGAGTTTGGCCACGAACGTACCTCTTTTGTCAGGATTTCACCATTCTCTTAGACATTTGAGCCAGTGTAACCAAGTGTAATTTTGAGAAAAAAATCACAGTATGTACATGCTGAACACTAGTTTTGACTGATCACAGAAATGCTATAAGATTGAGCCTAGACATCAGAACAGAGAGTCAACCTGATCATTAGGTAATATCTGAGCAAAAAAATGAGAAGTAGAAACTGATGAGGTAAAGACTGGAAAATGAGAAGCAGATAAATCCAGTACAGAGTCAAGAAAAGCAGGAGACAAAATGTAGGAATCCTGGAAGAGATACTGCTATGTGGAAGGAAAAATCAGTGACTGGTACTGACCAGGTGAAGAGAATGGTTTGCAGCAAAGAAAGGTGGTTGGAATCATAGGCCTAGAAAAGAAACATGTAGGAAGGAAGGCAAGCTCAAATGGAGACGTTACATCAGCAGCATAAGTTAAAGTTGGCCCACAAGTGCAGTATGTTGTACTCAGGCCTCATTGATTAGCTGTGGGAGACCACTGCAGCATGCTACTTTCATTCTATTTGTGTGCAGTACAGACAAATCCATAAATTTTGAGTCAGAAGTATCATTAGGCAAACCAATTCCCTGTGCATAGTATAAGTGATAAAATTTTGTCCAGATTTCTGCAACAAATTCTGCTCTAAACTCTGAATTAAAACATTGATTTGGAAGACTTCTGAGATTTCCTGGCTTGTGCATTATAGTCACAGCATGATAGCTTTCTGCTGACAGGGCAAAGGTTGATCCCAGACCAGGTGACTGAATAGCAAGGAATTTTTCCCACACATACTAACTACCAATATTTTTTCCCCCCAGGTATTTTTACTATCCAATAAAGAACTATCCAGCAAAAGAAGAGAACTCATAATTCTGATCAAAAGGTTCAGAACTGTTTCCAGTGAAGACAAACTGCCTGTATTTCAGCTGATGCTTCTGATTTCCGAACAGCAGAGTTTTGCTCATCAAACATCAACCTGAAGGGATTTCAATATTGAAAGTCTTCAAGAAACCTCATGATTTTTCAGGATTATACTTGTAACTTTAGCTTTGTTTACAGCATAAGCACTTTACAAAGAACACTGGGAAAAATGCTTCCAGGTTTATACATTAGGAGAAAAGCACAACTCCCAGAAGTACATATCTCCTATTTTTATATACTTATTAAAAATAGTTCTTGCATAGTTTCTGGAATACTAGTTCAAAGCCTGTAGCCTTATTCATGTCCATTATGTCTTCTATGGAAAGAAAAAAAGCTTTCTAATATCACCAGACAGAAAATATATGTAGACTCCCTGCATGAGAATTAAGAACAGATTAAATATCATCAGTGTGATTTTAATATTTAGAATTCTTTTCTGCTTACAATTGGATAGAGGCAAATTCTAATGCCAGTATGACATGTAAATAGCAGTTGGTGTAGCACCTGAATGTTCTGTTATTTTTAAAAATATTGTTTTTATTGCTGTTTGAAACTGTGTTTATTATATGTCAGTCAGGCATATTTTGTATAGATACATTTTATATATACATTCAATTATTAGCAGACTAAATTAAATACATGCTTTGCTGCTAATCAAAACTGTAGTACTTAAAAGCACTTTGAGAATTTCAACATTTATTCACTATATATTAGATGAGATAAAAATATCTCACTGCAGTAGTGGAGAAACTTTGCTGTTGTTGTTGTCTACAGTTAAGTAAAGAATGCTATAAAGTAGAAATGCTTTTCTCTGCAGTGGCAATCATAACTGTTGAAAATAACCAGAAGACACTTGGTGACTTAGTTCTGTTGAAAATGATTAACATTATATTCACCATATAACAACCAGTGAGCAGTTAAATACAGAGGGATGTTCTGCACTCTTACAGGGTGAAAAGTCATCCTCTGTCCTTCCTGTTCCAGTGTTTGTCTGTAACTATCAATTGCTAACTAGCATTAATTTCCTATCAATTCAAGAGTATTATTTCACCTTTAATGAATGACTTCAACATTCCAAATTGTGAAGCTGAGAAAAATGTCCCTCTTTTCATATACATGATGTGTAGAAAGTCATCAGGTACTGTATTTCCACTTACCTAATAGTGTAGTTGTGATAGCAAAGGTATATTAAATGCTGCTTTAGAAATCAAATTAAAAAGGCAAAGTTGGTCATGACATATTCTATGGTGAAGATACAGATAAAAGTGTTCTGAAGAAGGAAAATAGCATATGCAGTCCTTGTGGAATGGTTAATATAAAGGAGAAAAGACAGTTTTGTCTTCAGTCAAATATTCTCATTTTAGTAATTACCACCATTGCATGTCCTTTAATTATCTCCTACTTTCTTTTCTCCCTGTAGCTACTGGCACAGCTTATTCTAATCTCTTTTTATGAGTGTATCTCCTTATGCCTGTCTGAAGGAGAGTGCCACCTAATATAGTCAGTGATTGATGGTGACAGTGTGCCATGCCTACTACTTCATCACCACATCTTACTGAATACAGACCTCAACTTTAAATTATATTCTTTATGTCTACTTTTAGCCAGTAACTTCTATATGTCATCTGTTTTAATGACAAAAATTAAACATTGTATATGCAGTATCTAGGCCAAAATGAAAAAGAATGTTTTTACTCTGGGTATCCTCAAAACCAGTCATTTTCTACCTGGCAAATCTGAAGATAGCCATGGTATGATTTCCCGTTTTTTTAATGTATCTTTAGAAAGCTAAGGCAAACTCCTTTATATTTTGATGTAAGAAAGTACTTGGATGTTTTGCCTGACCAAGACATACAAGATACCACCAGTTAGTGTTTTCAAAATAATTTTATTTGCTGTAGATGGTGCACTTCTAGCAATGTTACCATTAAAAGGTCTGAAAATGTTAAATTGTCAGAATGTAATGAATGCACTAGAAATTCTCTGGATCTTATTCCAAGCGTGTTTTGAATTAGCATTGTTAAATTTTTGTCAAGATATGTGTGGTAGCATAGCATTCATTCATACTTTATGAAATAATTTTTCTTTAGAAACAGAATGACTCCCATTTGTTTCTTTTAGTATATTTGGAGTGCTGTTAACATTGAAGCAAATTTGTGTTCATTTTTAACTGTTAAAGATAGAGTACTAGATAGTGGTCAGCAGAACAGAAGCTTCTTCCAAATAACAAGACTGGATGTGGATGTGTGGTGTATACAGCTGGACCTGCCATGACAAATGAAAGCAGAGAATCTTTGGTCTTCTCTATGCCTTCGGTGGAGTTCATATTTTTTTTCCCCTGGTTGCAACTGAATTGACATTCTGGCTACCATAGAAAAGAGCTGATTTTTTTTACTTCAACATTTCTGTGCTTCTTGAATTATCTAACTTTGTCTCATTCTAGTTATTGGAGATGGTTTGGGATATATATATATATATATACCAGATCAAGATTAAGACAAAAGCAGGGTCGAATGTTGTCCAATTGGTTTATTACAAATTCTAAGCAGTTAAGGAATGATGGGAAGGTGAGGAGATTAGAAATGGTAAAGAGAGAAATTCTAGTGAGTGGGTCACCATCATGGGTCCAGTGGTGCCGTATTGGTCTGTAGTGGGCTGCAGGTCAGTCAGCAACATTTTGTTGACCTGTGTGTCTGCAAGTTTCTTGGAGAGGGTATCCATTCTACTTCTGAACTCTTCAGGTTTTTATCCTCTTTGTTCTGCTCTTGTGCACCTCTGGTTGCTTGGGACAGCAGCTCATGATCCCCACACAGGGTGATCTGCAGTGATCATGTAGCAATCAGGTGTCTGCCACCTGGCAGGCTGTTGGGCATGAATACTGACTGCATGGTAGTCACTTTCTCTAAAACAACTCTAGAAGTCAGCCTGACCTGCAAACATCAGCCGAGAGTCAATTCTTTCTGGTCACTCAACCACACTATTTCCTCCTTCCGGCTTGATCATGGTCTCAGGTGGGTCACTGAACAGTCTTTGAGACAAGAATGCTTTCTCTCAACTTCTCACAAACCTACAGCTATTAACTACTCTTTGATCTTGTGCTGTTACTGATTTTAAAACCAACAGTTTGGACAAATTGGTGTAATGATAAGGAAAATGGCTGCATTAAAATGGTATAATGCATCTCACTTGACCCTGTGTATCACTGTGCGTACCACCAATGCTATCAAGGGTCAGTGTTGCTAAATGAACCCACATGGTTATTATATTGCTCTGAATAGTGCTGAAATGAATCATTTGATTGCTTCCAAACTGGAAATGGGGATTTCTTAAAAACAAATATTCATGAAGAACTATAGAAGTAATTTAGTGATGGTAAATACAAAGAATACTGCCTATGTTGGCTAGTTTGTGAATTCCTATTCTCTTATGACATTTTCTTATAAATAAGAATTTACAGATATTGTTTGGGCATAATTTTGTGAAAATGAAATATGTGTGCATCATTAGATTTAAACCATATATACACTGCAAATGAGATTTTCTTAGTACATTGTATTTGTGATGCAATGCTACCTGCAAAGAACAGCAAGCAGTTCAGAGAATTTTTATTCATCTTGATCTCTCTTTAAGGCCCTTAAAATAATATACATGAGATGCATGTCACTGAATTCTAACCCATGTATCTCTAATACTGGCACTTTTGTTTTAGTTTGAAAACAACAACAAAAAAAGGGCAATTAACTGCCAAAGAAATTTATTTGTGTTAGCTATTAATTACTTAATGGCTTTAATAAATAGATATTTTCTGCTGATAATCAGGGCATGTTGTATTTTATGTTGTTTGCGAAGTAACAAGCAGTTCTGCCATGAATAATTCCTGTATGGCTAAATTCTGTATAGAAAATACACATATAGCATATTTAGGGAAAGACAAAAAACAAATACAAGTTGCCCAGTATCAGCAGAAAAATTTGAGAGCGTGACTTACGGCTCTCAGGTTCCAATCCAATGCATAACTTGTGTCCTTCAAAGTGTGTATCTTTTATTTTCTTGTATGCTTTAATCTTTAATGTGACCTGTGCAAAAATGAGAAAAAACAGGTGTAGCTGTAATTATTTAACTACTTGAAAAATGTTCCATGACTCTTGCTGCTAACAGTGTTGAGGGCACTGTACTAATTGTACACAGCTAACTTTTGGTTATTTGTGAGTTAATCTAAAATGTAGCTTATACAGGCATATCCTTCCATTTTCTGGCAGCCATTTTCAGGCTGCAGTGAAGTACCTGTGATTATGTAGTGTTCTGCTTTCTATTGTTCATGCTTTTGCCTTCTTTTTCTAGTCATCTAATTGCAAATTCATTCTCAGGAGAATGCATTCTCAGAATGTCATGCAGCCTGATTTACGTATCTTCTGCTCTATCTGACTCATTTCTCAGTCCTCTGTCATATTCCTGAATAATCAAATGTTGACAGTACATAAAATAATGAGTTTTATTCCATATGGGAATTCCTGGTAACAGTCACAAAATAACATATGTAAAAGATTGTATTTCTTACAGACACTGTAACTTACAGAAGTACTGCCTCATTATTGGTATTTCATATCAAGCAATTTGGCAACTAGCTCATGGACTTACAGAATTATGCTAATTAAAGAAGAAAGGCCAATCACACTCATTGTTAAAACCAAGAAACTCTTTGTGTCGACTTTCTCAAACTCAATAATATACACATTTCTACCATGTCTGTAATTTGTGGGAAATTCTAGCCTGCTTTTGGGAAGAACTGGCAATTAGGAATCTCAGGAGAGGTGAAAGGAGAAAACCACTTGAGAATTTTCATTTTGACTGTATGAAGTAGCCATGAATTTGCATTTAAAATCTTCAGATCTGAATGTTACGTTGTTCAATTTGACTACAAAAACAGCAATTGGAAACAAAAAGTCTTCTGAGTCCTTTTGTTTCTTAACTTTGAAGGGAGCTTAATTATTCAAATCCTCTTTATTCTGCTGTTCTTAACAGTAGACGGTGAGGTCCACAACAAGAAACTACTCATTTACAAATATTTGACATCTGAGTCCTCAAATTCCCTGTGAAACTGAAAACTTGCATCTATTAGAATTTTGATTCCTTGATTACACAAAACTGCCATGTTTTGCCCTAACCTTTTCCTAGTTTCAAAACAGCTCCAGTATGTTTTTAATTTCACCAACTACAACATGTTCCTTGACTTATTCTGCAATTGGACTTACTCAGTTTTGCTCAGAACTTCGATGTATCGTTAGCTACAGTACCATCTTTTGTCTGCCTCCATGTCCATTGGTATGTTACACAAATGTAGATGGTGTTGGGAGTTTGTCTCAGCAATGAAATCGGTAGTCTGTTACGCTCAAGGTCTTGTTTATGGAAAGAGGCAGTAGAACATTTTTATATGTTTGTGTAGAGATATGTATATACATAGAGAGAGAGCATCACGTTTTTTTTATTTCTACAGTTGAAATCTTAGCAATCTAACTCAAGAATCATTGTTAATCTAAAGCTGGTACAGAAAAAGAAAAAATGAATAAGAATTCAGGTAAAA